TCGATCCGATGATCTTCCGAGGTCCCTTCCAGCCCCTCGCAATCCATGAATCTGCCCCTTCCCTCCCTACGCTGACCAGCTGGAAGCTGCCAGGCTGCATATCAGCAATTGGATCGGTATTGGCTGACATGGCTCATTTTAATAACTGGTCATCGGTATCGGCCCCAAAAATATTTATTGGTGCTCCCCTAGGTAGAACATGGGTTTTTCTCATTTTTTTTTACTAGCCCATCTCCAGCAGGTATCCTTTACTTAGAAGGTGGAAGGAGAAAAAGCCAGGTTGTTTCTCTTTATTTTTTTAATCTGCTTTTGTATACAGATTGAAAGCTCCCTCTTAGCCAGTTTCTACTTTCAGTTTCTAAATATTCCATGTCTAAATGCACCTTGGTCTACTACTTGCATAACTATTGAAAGCACTAATAGCAACTTTTAATGCCTTGATTAAGTAGCCGTTTAACCATCAAGCAGATACATCTTTCTAATCCATTGTATTAACTTCTCCATTGCTGCATCCAGGACAAGAAACCATGGCAGGACACGATGCGGGAAGTCAACACCAGTTCACTGGCTTTCAGAAATACTTCAATTCCTACACCCTGATAGGCAGGAGGAATGTATGTACTTGCTGATCTACCCTTACCCATTGAGTTTCCAGTGTACTTCAGAAAGAATTTAAGCTTCATTTTTTTTTTTTTTCTCCCCACAGTATGTAATAGCCACGTATACCACCATTGCAGCAATTATCCTGTTCTTCAAGCTAAGGTCTAAAAAAAAGGCTCCAGCTATAACAGAGAAATAGAGCGGTAAGTGGGCTGGAACTCTTCTAGCACCAACATCAATTCCTGTCTCTGCTTCAGTGGGGTGATGAAGAGGGAGAGGCTGAAAAAAGGCTACCCATGTCACCAGGTTAGGATTACATGGTTGCTAAGCTTAGGCATGCATACATTACGGTTCGGTTAAGGTTTGAAATGAAGATAACACGCGTTCAGCTAGGTTATTGCGAGCACTGTGAAAGAGGTAAGCTTTTCAAGGGGATTTTAAAGTGGCCGATCAGTTAGCAAATATGGAATAGACAGAGTTGCTATATACACTAAATTGATTTAAAGAGGGAGGTTTGGTGGGTTTTTTTAGTCATTTAAACCACTGACATCAAAAGTGATTCAAACCGGGAGTTTTCAAAGAACTTTTTTGCTGCCTTGACAGTGTGTCCAGCACTTTTAGGAACTCCAAGCTGAATTCACTAGCTTTTACTCTGGCTTAATCAGTTCACAATTTGGCTGTCCTGTCCTGCATTAGTAAAAATGCAATGCAGATAATGTCAGGTTTCTCTGTAGAGGTCTTAACATTGACTTGGGTGAAAAACATAATGTTGTTCCAGTGCCCTGGGATTGCATGCGGGGCTGGTAGCTCTGTTAATACTGACTGACTAATGCATTCAATTGGAAAATCTGTCATGTGCATAAGATAGTTGATCTGAAGCTCTTCTCACAAAGACCCTTGTTTCTGACAGAATAGCTCTTGGAAAATGCCAGCTATTTCTTAGCACAAGAATAGGAAAACCATATTGTCAATACTGAAGGGAATTCTGGAACATGTTTTCTTTCAAGCTTGAGTGCCGCTGTACTTTGAAGTGGAAGATTTAAAATTGTCAGGCAATAAGTAACCTTTTGTCTTAGCGCAGTGTCCTTTGCCATACTGTGGAAACTTTCGATTTTTGCCTTAAAGAAATTGCAGCTCACAGATGGTTGTACTCAAGCAGTTAAATTGTAGAGTTTCAGTAAGCACTAGGAAGCCCTGCCTGCTAGGTAGGCTTATGAAGTGAGAGCAGGAAGCTGTGCTCTTGATGATACCCTCCTCCCAGGCAAGGAGGAAGGTGCCTGTTTCAAATGCAAAACTGATCTAAGCCAGATTGTGGGGGCAGGGGGAAGAGGTGCACAGATGGTGGCTGGGAACCATTATGGGTGGTGGGCAACTGGCAGTGGGGAGAATGTTGCATGGGGAGATGGAAGGGGTAAGAGTAGGGATGGAACTGGCCAGGTGAAAAAGAAGGGGTGAGGAGGAGATTATTTTTGCTAGTAGCACTGCCAAACTTGCTACTGCTTCAACCACTTTTCACTCTTAAACCAATTTCCCTTCTCTTGGCAGGTTGGCATGCCTAAAGCTCCCATCTCATGGTGTTTCAATGGAAGCAAGAGTGGATGCCCTCTTATGTACAGTTTAATAAACTGAATACTGACTTGTTTGTCTGATGTCAGCAGTAAAAAATGGTACAAGCATAATGTAAACTCTTAATTGTCAAAACTACAGGCATGTCGCATCTTACGCGAGGGTTACGTTCTGAAGGCAGCACGTAAAGGCAAAAATCGCGTGTGGTGAAATCACATATTACTGTGCCAGTGGTGACTGCCTCTGCCTCCAAAACCTCCCCCCCCCGCCACGGAGCCACACTTAGAGCGGCGCAGCACAGGGTGGTGGTGGGGGTGGCTGCGTGCCACCTGGCCACCACCGCGCCCAGCAGCTGGCCACACAGCTCCGGGCATGGCTCCATGGCGGCGGCGGGAGGTTTTGGAGGCAGAGGCAGTCACCGCTGGCAGTGTGGTGGTGGCTGGGCCTCCAGGTAAGCAGCAGCACCATGTGCAGACTCAAGCCCCGCCCCCCTCCCCACCTGCATATAGTTGAATTTGCGCAAGTTCAATGCGCGTATGATGCGATATGCCTGTATATACATCCTTCCCAATGGAGGTCAAGTTATTTGTTCTGCTCTTGGATGTTTGTATTAAACAGACTGACTGCATACGGCTGACAAAGTTGTTCGATTTAATAGCATCTTAAAATCAGTACTGAACACGAGTAGCACCTCAACCATGAAAGAACTTGCATGTAAATGTAACTTCAAAAGTTGTCCTGGTTGCAAGTGGCTAATGTCTGCACTTCATTCTGTACCACTTTTATCAATTTAAAGATAAGTCCTGAATCTTCTGCTGTCTTCATTTGTGTTAACTGGTAGCTCCAGGCCCTGGTGTCTAGTGAAAGAGCTAGTGTATATGGAGCAAATCTTTTGTCCTTTGTTTCAAATCCTTAAGCTTCTCTGGGTCTTTTGCAGCATCCAGATTGCTATCAGATCAGCAAGGACACCGGATTGAATAGCCTCAGACCACTTCTAGGGAAAAATCAATTTCTCTATGGGAACTTGATGGATACAGGGCCATTACCGTTTATGAAAATGCTTAGTACAACCATGCATACATTTTTTCCTCTAGGTTCATGCTTACTGAGAGTTTAGATGAACCTACTGTTATCCTGTATGCTGTAAGTGTAATAAGACTTTCCCCTGACCCATTCATTTTTAACATTGCTGTTCATCTTCCCATTGTAACATCTGTTTCCTATGAGGTGGTCAGTCAAGAATGTGGATGTGTTCTGATCTTTGTTATTCCCCTTTTCCAAATGTGTCTTTCCGGGTGAGGCACAACAGCAGTGAAGTAAGTTTGGTAGAGCAGTGGACTCGAGGCACCCTCTACTTCTGGCTGGGCCTGTTTTAGGGCCAAGCCTCCCTCTGCCTGAAGAGGGGTGTTTGTGCCGGAACAATTTTTCCAACTATTTATTTGGTCTAGTAAAAGATATATTTAGCCAAAGAACCTCATCTGCCAGTGTCAGACCAACACAGCTACAACCAACACCCCCCC